AGTTTTATAATTTTAGTTGGTTTATATCCAACACCCCAAAATTCCCCTTTAATCTAAAATTAAACCAAACCCTAAATTTAAAGAACCCCCAATATTTTTGTTATCCTTCCTCATCACCTTCATCATAGTTCACCCTATCTCTGGACAGTGGTGGTGAATATTGCCGCCTCATGCAGCTTTGATGTCACCCCGTGACCTTAACCCAACCATAAATCATCTTAATCACTCACAATTCATTGCAACGTTTGGGAAAACCATTAATCCCTTTCTACCTTCGATCTTGAGTACCGTTCGCCAATGAGGGTCAACGTCAGTACCAGAGTAAGTGCCACCCTCGTCCGACCATAACTCTGTTAACTATGCTCTGAGTACCGTTGTTATCTACCATAGAGAACTCTACGAAAGCTTCGTCAGAAAACTAAAATTCTCGACATTATTTTGATGATTTCTGGCTAAGCAGCCTTCTATTAGCATCACCGCCTACACCGTTGAACTCCCCATGTCGTTTCAAGCAAAACCCAATCGGTGGGTCATTCTACCATCGTCAGTTCCATCGTATGTCACCCAGTAATGCATTTGGAGTGATCAACCCATCAAAAACAACCTCATTATGGTCACATGTACTGCATGTGCACGTGGGGATGCTCTTCCGCTTGAGAGTTTTTTAGAAGGTTGATCTGAGTCAATTTAGACCGAATTGAGTTAACTTGAAATGGCTTGAATCAACTTGAACTGGTCTGACCCATTGACTTTGACCCATACCGTTTATTATAATTTACCGTTGACCTAACTGTTGATCGACCCAAAGTTGACTTTGACCTTTGACTTCATTGTTCGTTAGTTTTGACCAAAAAGTCAAATTTTTCAAAAATTACTCCCTTAAGTTGGATCTTACGCCCAGTAGGCCTAGGGTAAGTCCTTATGGATGCAGTACAGAGGAACTGCATATGGAGTGTTTAGTTGGAGGCTATTGTTGTGTTTTAAAAAATTTGTTTTACTGAAATAAACTATTATTTATGGTTTTGTGGAACACACTAGACTCCCCAACTCCATCTTTCGAATCTATCTCTCTGAATATTTCCTCTGAACTATAAACTTCCTGACTATTACCTAAAGAATTAAATAGTGAGATCTCAATTCATCACTGTAACCTGTATATGCTTGGACAACTAAGGAAATCTTCATGATGCACTATATATTTGTTGGACTTTAGCATCTTTTGGTAGTATTATATTATTGAGCTTCCCAAAGCTTGCTCTGTTAGTTACCATTTCAGGCTAAAGGAATTTATCATTTGCAATATCGACATCAGTATTGGGAGTTATTTTGGTGTTGCTTGCAGAGTACAATACATGTGTAATTATAGGGCATGTAGGTCACATTTGTTTCTGTACTAAGTCTAAAAATTGTTATGATACGATATATGAACGAATTCTCTTTCTGATATGTGGATGATTTTCTGAACTTGTTTTTATTTATAAATTGTGTTATGATTATTAAATTGTTTATCAAAAATTTTATTTTTTTTGGTATTATTGTGGGTTGCTCCAGTGGCCCTAATGTGACACCTCAGATCGAATCGGGTCACCCGTATCGGTCTGAGGGTGTTACAGGTACTTTTAGATATTGAACAAGTTGGTGAATATAATTGATAGTTAAAATATCATTACATATGGTATTAGGTTCGATACTTTTTTATTTTTATCGATACTTATGCTCTAGTATTTGTGGAAAATTTTGATACTTTAGAGCCTTCTCGTTTTCCATATTTTTTAATCCAAAAGTATCGATTTTTGTAGAGAAGTGTAGATATTTATTATGAGTGAAATGCGAGACAAAATATTTAAGAAAGCATATCGAAATATAAAATATCAATACTTAGCCTATGTTGATCGATACTTTTGCATAAAAAAGGCGCTACCTATTACATTATCATGAAAAACTTGTTTTGTCTTACTTTTGCATAATATAAACGGTATCATACATATAGCTTAATTGGTTGACATTAAAAAAAGGTGATGCCTAGTACGTTATCATGAGCAACATGTTTTGTCTTACTTTTGCATAATATAAATAGTTTATACTTATAACTTAAACGATTGACATAAAAAAAGACGATGCCTACTATGTTATCATGAGAAACATGTTTTGTCTTACTTTTTCATCATATAAACGGTTTCATACTTATAACTTAAATAGTTGACATTAAAAAAGGGACTACCTGTTATGTTATCACGAGCATAACAAAATAAGTTAAAAGCTTAAAATGTTATGAATATTTATAAAAAAATTGAAAGTATCAATATTTGTGGAAAAGTATTGATACTTTGTAGCCTTCCCATTTTCCATATTTTTCTTTAAATTCAAAAGTATGTTATCATGAGCAACATGCTTTTTCTTTCTTTTGCATAATATAAATGGTTTTATACTTATAACTTAAACGATTGACATAAAAAAGATGATGCCTACTACGTTATCATGAGAAACATGTTTTGTCTTACTTTTTCATTATATAAATGGTTTCATACTTATAACTTAAATAGTTGACATTAAAAAAATGCGCTGCCTACTATGCTATCACGAGCATAACAAAATAAGTTAAAACCTTAAAATGTTATGAATATTTTATAAAATTTGAAAGTATCGATATTTGTGAAAAATTATTGATACTTTGTAGCCTTCTCATTTTTCATATTTTTCTTTAAATTCAAAAGTATCGATACTTAGCAACATTCTCATTTTCCATGTTTTTTTAATTCGAAAGTATCAGTACTTGTGAAATAAATATCCATACTTTCAAATTAAAAAAATGAAAATGATATTTTAACTTTGTAATCTAAAAGTATCGATACTTTGCAACCTTCTCATTTTTTCTTTTTTAATTCAAAAGTATCAATACTTGTGGAAAAGTATTCATACTGTCAAATTTTTTATAACAAAAATATTAACATTCCATATCGCAACTTACTTTCTTAGTGAAACATAACATTCTTGGGCGTAACTCATTTTATTAATAAAAATATTAGCATTCCAAATCTCAACTTATTTCTTTGTGAATCATGACATTCTTGGACGAAACCCATTTTATTAATAAAAATATTAACATTATAGATCACAACCCATTTTTTAGTGAATCATTACATTTTTTAGTACAACCCATTTTATTAATAAAAATATTAACATTCTAGATTACAACTTATTTCTTAGTGAGCCATGACATTCTTGGGCGAAACACATTTTATTAATAAAATATTAACATTTTAGATCACAACATATTTCAATCAGCCATGACTTTTTTAAGAGCAGTCATATTTATTATATATATTCATAACATTATTAGCTTTTAACTTATTTTCTTATCGTGGGAAAATCCAATATTTCATCAGCTTAAACTCTGGTAACATTCTAGGTGCAACCTAAAACATTAATAATATTCATAACATTTACTATTTATAACTTATTATCTTACCATTTATAACATTTTAGGTGCAACATGTTATGCTATTATATTGATAACTTTTTCGGTTCCATTTTATAATATTTTATGTTCTACTTTTAACATATAAGATAAGTTTTTCGGTTACATCATTTTAACTTATTTTAAAACAGTTACAACTCAATATATTATATATATAAATTAACATTTCCAGTCTCACTAAATCAATTTTATTAAGGTTTTTTTTTTCAAATTTTCGATTCGCCGGTTTTTTAGTCTTGTAGACAACTCCCTAAGATTGACACTATAAAAACCCTTGGACGAGGCACGTGTAAAAGCTGCAAAATTATATCCTTTTGGTAAACCATTGACGTAATTGCATGGATTTGGTTATGACCACAGTATAACTTAAGTTTGAAGCAGAAGCGGTAATGTTAAATTTGCTTGCTTCGGGTTTAATGAACTTGTGCCCATAAATTGCAGTAAAATGGAAAAGGAAATTCCAACTATCAATGGCAGGATCACCATCGACTTAAATGCAGATGTTTACCATGGAACCACACACTAACTTCTCTAAACAATACTTTCAATGCACAAACCACATATAGCAATCATTTCATTACTATTTGTAGCGGTCAAAGACCCAGTTTTTCTTCTTTTCTTTTTTATGAAAAATGCTAAATTTATGCAGGTTTTTTTTAAAAAAATAAATATTTTCTGAGATTTAAAGTGAGAGTATGATTGCATTTCCAATTGAATTATATTTATGCGATTTTGGAAATAACATATATTATTACGATTATTATGATATTACAGTCCTAAGAATGAGTGCTAAAATATTTTAAATTATTTGAATTGACGATTTTTACTTTATAACTCAAATTTTATTTAAATTTTTTCGAGTAAAATAAAATTTATAAATTTTAATGGACTTGATTCAAATTTGAAAATTAATTCTCTAATTAAAAAAATATTAATTTATTATTCGAGTTCTATTTTATAAATCGAATTGAATTAAAAAAATTGAGTCAAATTTATAAAATTATTAGTCGAGTCAATTTGAATCTAATAAAAAATTATTTTTTTAAACGAAATCGAATTTTATTTAATCTTATCTAATTATACAATAATAATTTTAGATCACATCATTCTTTTTATTTCTCTATAAATAATTTACTTTTTAAATAATTTACTTTCAACAATCTAATTACATAAAAACCACCAATCTAATAACGGATCACCATTTAAATCTTGAATCTCTATTTGTTATTTCAACAATGCATATCTTTCTTTTTATTTCTCTATAAATAATTTACTTTTTATTTTTATAATTTTAAAATTTTGGAAGTAAAGTAAAGAGAAAAGGCTAATAAAAGAAAATCTTATCCACAAAACAAAGCAGGGTTAGGGATGAATCACAAGAGACAAAAGCTTTTAAGGTACACCACAACACCAATTATTTGGCAAGGCGAATCCACAAAAAACGAAGAGAAAAGAATGTTTAAGTCAAAGTGTTTTTCTAAAGTTTTTATATTAGATTTTTCAAAATTCACCAAACCAAAACTCTTCCAATATATCAGAGTCACCAAACAAAATCGACATAGGACAAACCCTAAACCTAGCTTCGTCCCTAATTCCCACCATCATTACCATAAAAGCTTCTACTTAAAGCCTAGAGCACACCGACTTGCTTCATAAGTTCCTCAGAAAAGCTTTATTACAAGACATTTAGTTTCACATACTAATCTCTAAAGCATGCTATTTACAAGACAAGATGCAGCACCATGTTCCCCTTCCTCTCAGCAGCACACCATCAACATCTCCACCATCGGAGCCTGATTTAACATGCTTTCAGTCACTTCCCTTGGACCCTACCGTACCGGATTACACCTCCCTTCTCTCCAACGAGCTCCTCCTAAACATATTCTCCAAGCTTCCAATCTCTCAACATGTCTCGAATTCCTTGGTCTGCAGACGCTGGTTGAACCTCCACGGCCGGTTGGTGCAATCCCTTAAAGTTAAGGACTGGTCGTTTGTTACTTCGGGTCGGGTGTTTAACCGGTTCCCCAATCTCACGGATTTAGACTTGGTCCGTTCGTGTGTAGGGTTGCCCAAGTGCTCTGGCATTGTAGTAACCCACAAAACTATGTCGGTTCATGTGGATACTAGTTTGATTCTCGGCGGATTTCTGGAAGAAACAGCGTTGTTGCCGTCGAATGAAGTTGACAAAGGGCTTGCAATGATTGCCGAAAAGTACCCGAATTTACAGAGATGAGTGGTTATTGGGGCAGGCGAACAAGGGTTATTAAAAATAGCGGAGTGTTCTACAATGCAAGAGTTGGAACTACATTGTTGTGGGGATTTGGCTCTAAAGCCCATTTCCGGGATTAAAAATTTACAGGTAGTGAAACTGATTGGGTTCATTGATGTGTTGTACAATTCGGCGATTTCAGACATCGGGTTAACATTATTGGCTCAAGGGTGTAGAAGGTTAGTTAAGCTGGAGCTTTGTGGATGTGAAGGGAGCTATGATGGGGTTAAGGCGATAGGGCAATGTTGCCAAATGCTTGAAGAATTGACCCTTTCCGAACATAGAATGGATGGTGGGTGGTTAGCCGGGCTTTCGTTTTGCGGGAACTTGAAGACCCTGAGGCTAAAGTCTTGTAGAAGTATTGATAAGTTCCCTGGGGCGGATGAGCATTTGGGGTCTTGTTTCACCCTCGAAGAGTTGCATTTGCAGGGCTGTCAAATTCGAGAGATGCAAAGTGTTAAAGCTTTGTTTTTGGTTTGTGAGAATGTTAGGGACATTCTTTTACAGGATTGTTTTGGCTTGGAGGATGATGTGTTTGGTCTTGCAAGCATTTGTAGGTACGAGACTCTTTTACCCCATCTTCAATAGAATTATTTCTTTTACATGTTAGATTATTTGTAACTTTTGATTCCTAGAGAGTACTTTTGTATAAAACTGATGATCTTATTAGAGAATGTGACAAGAGGAAACTTTAGGCCTTTGATAGTTGATCTAATCTTTAACATTATCTGCACTCACATAGCAATAAATTTCTGGAAAGTTTTGAATTCGATTCCAAATGACCAAGTGGGCATTCCCTCCCTCTTGATGCTTAATATGTTGAAATGTTCAGTGACCTGTTAGTGGTGCCGTTTGAAATCCCAGTTCTGTATTGTTTCTTATATAATAGCCACGTTCGAATGTTTAAAAGGAATTATTGTAGTTAATCATGATGTGATCACAGTTGTCTAGTTTCTTTTACTGATTTTCGGTTTGCAACCGTTTCGCTCTCGCCCCTGTTTGAAATCTGACCATGGATTTATATTGTTTTTTATTTCACCACTTTGTAGGAGAGTGAAGCTTCTTTCTCTGGAAGGATGCTCGTTGCTAACCATCAAAGGTTTGGAGTCGGTAGTGCTTTCATGGAAAGAGCTTCAACAATTGAGAGTAATGTCATGTAATAATATCAAGGATACTGAAATAAAACCTGAACTGGCAACCTTATTTTCCATTCTGAGAGAGCTGATATGGAGACCAGATTCCCGATCTCTACTATCAGCGAATCTTGCCGAGACCGGAATGGGAAAGAAAGGTGATAGATTCTTCAAGAGATGGAAGGATTAACCTTGCCGCCTAATTCCATGCCTCTGGATCTGAAGTAGTTAATGCTTGGATTGTACAGATCACAATCCACATTCCATAGCTTTATATGTTCATGCATGATAGTGATAACAGGGGAGGATTCATCAAGCCAAGCTTATCAGAGTTTTTGTGTATAAACCCTGTACGCCAACAGCAAGCAAGAATTACTTTGTTAAATGTATTTTATGTATCATTGAGGTTAGATTTTTGTTGTTTGAGTAATAAATTAGGGTCAGTTTGTTTTACTTAAAACAGTTTCCGGAAAATGAATTTTAAAAAATGAATTACATTTCTAGAAAACATTTTTTAGAAAACATTTTATATTATTTGGATGTTACATTGTAAAATGTTTTACACTGTTTAGTTAGTTTCTCTGAAAACAATTTAAGAAATCTGTTTTTTTGTAAAAATGTATACATTTTTATATTTTTCTTGTTATTTACCTTTTTAATTTTTTTAAGTTATTTTTATAAAATTGTATTTTATAAAATTTTGAAAATAAATGTTTTATTTCTATAAGTACATCAAATTAAATTTGTAGATAATATTAATAATTTATGTTGATTGTGTTATAAATACACAATTTTAGGTTTGGAGTATTCATGATACTTATTTATTAGCATTTTTAAAATTAAAGTTTAAATTATAATTAATATTATATGTAGGTTTAATAGATATAATTTTGATAATGTATTAAAATATATATTATCAAAGTAAATAATTAAAATTACATCATTATTAAAACAACAATAGGACATTACATTGGAATAATAATAATATTTTCAAAGTGTTTAATTAAAACTACACCACATTAAGACATCGATATTATCCAACCATAATAATACAAAATATTGTCTAATTCATAATTAGTTCTACGACACATCAAACCAACATATTGTCCAAGTCATAAATAGTAGTACACCACATTAAAAGTTCACATCTTAACTTTGAGGAAAATTTTAAAGCCAAATTTTCCTATGTTTTGGTTTTTTGCCAAGAAAACTTAACTCATTTTTCGCTAAAAAGTCGAATACCTTACAAAGAAAGTCGTCATCAAATCCTTCTTTCTCTATTGACATAACTTCTTCATAAAGATATAGTGCCTTATCCTCTGTCAATTTTTTAGTGCTTCAACAATCTCACCAAGTTTCTCACCTACAAAAGTCTCCCAAATTAGCTTGACACAAATAGCTAACAATTTACGCTCTAAATGTTGGTAGACCAATAAAAGGGATTGGTACCACTTGACATTGGTTACAAAGTACAAAATTCGACCAGTACAATGGTACCAAACACATTGCATAAAGAGACAAGTTGAAGGACACAAAAGAAAACAAAAAACCAAATATTATAATATTAAAATAAGGGTCTGTTATATCATTTTCTTATGACCCTAAACCGTGTTTCAATTGAGTATCAAGTTTCACGATACATTATAATTGTACTACAAAAACCTAATGCAACAAATACAACATTTTTTAAGTATTATAAAATATTCAAGGAAATAAGAACTCAAATGAAACTAGTATGATAATGTCTGTGAACAGTTTAGAACTTCAACATGACCCAACACCAAGTACTACACACGTAAATTAGATGCAACAACAACAACAACAACAAAACCCAATTCCCATATGTATGGGGTAAGGGGGAGGTAGGGTAGTAGGCTACCCCCAACGCCAGGTTGAGAGTAACTTCCGTGGAAGACCTCCGGCAGTCAGAAAATAAAAAATTTAGATAAAATACAATGCATGTATAAATAAATACATAAATACATAGCTAAACAGTATTCATATGCAGTCATTAAAATCATATGTGCGTCTGTAACGAGAATTAATCCCTGCATAATAATCCATGCGAAAGAATCTCTGCATATAGACAGAAACATAAGATAAGATCCGGCTAAATTTAAAAGAGGAAACATGAAGAGAATGATACACAGAAGTCAACGTTAGCAAGCCCAGTTCTAATCCTTCATAAATACCAATAACAGAAACGTATAAAAAGTATAAGTCATGGAAAATACTACAAAGACATTAAAAGAAGACAGAGATGATACACCCTATAGATGTGACCCACACTACTCGACTACCCTAGTCTTTAGCCTCCATATTTTCCTATCAGAGGTCATGTCTTCGGTAAGGGCTAAATCCCTCAAATCAGATCTCAAGCAGTCTTCCCACTTTCGCCTTGGTCGTCCTTTCCTTCTGGCACCGTCAACTGTAATCGACTCTACCCTCCTTACCGCATCCGACGGTAGTCGCCTAAGGACATGCCCAAACCACCGTAGTCTTCCCTCCCTCAATTTTTCGGAAACAGACACCACCCCCAAGGACATCCTAATAGCAGAGTTTGTCGTCATATCCCTCAGAGTCTTACCACATGTCCATCGAAGCATTCTCATTTCTGCGGCCTCAATCCTCCTTACGTGATCCTTCTTGGTTGCCCAACATTCTGATCCATACAACAGCGCTGGTCTTATTGCCATTCTATAAAATTTTCCCTTAAGTTTTAGAGGGACCTTCTTGTCACACAGAACTCCAGTAGCGACCCTCCACTTTAGCCATCCCGCCTTTATACGGTGTGTAACGTCATCATCTACACCCCCATCTTTATGTATCATAGACCCTAGGTACTTGAAACAATCCTTTGAGGGGAGAACGTGTCCTTCTATGCATACTTCTAAATCTTCATCGTTTTGGTTCCCATTGAAGTTTGAACATAAATACTCTGTCTTTTCAATATTGATCCTTAAACCTTTTTCTTCCAAAGCAGTCTTCCAGGTAGCCAGTCTACTATTCAACTCAGATTTTGTTTCAGCAACTAAGACAATGTCGTCAGCGAAAAGCATACACCATGGTACACCGTCTGGTGTCGCACAATAGATGTCGTCCATGATCAAGGCGAAGATGTAAGGGCTAAGAGCCGACCCCTGGTGGAGTCCGATTTCCACCGGGAATGCCTCGGTGTCACCAACTGTAGTCCTGACGTAAGTAGTAGATGTAAATTAGATGCACTTGCTTTTAATTGACAATGCTTTCAAAGTTCAAATGTTCATGAATTATTAATGAATAATCTAAAATATTGAAAGCCAATGCTTTGGAGCCTAAATCATTCAGGGGAAAAAAGCACTTCATCATAAGCTGGTTGGGTTCAGCACGCAACTGTCAACACATGCATTTTTTCTAGCTTTGGAGAAAAGAAAAAAAAAACACACAATGTTTCAAGTAGAAATAGACCTGAACAAAATTGAACTTCTTCCCTAAACAAAAAGTAAATGAGAATGACTAATCCTTGAACTTGGCCACTAAAAAGAAACAAAATGGATTTTGACCATTGCTTCTGTACATGAATGCATGTACAATTTACCAGAATAACCATGGAATTCACATCTAGATCAAATCTGGAATAGAGAATTTTGAGATAATTTTCCATAGAAGTCAAAGCAATGGAACCAAATAAAGCTTGTATATGTAACAAAGAATAAGATATTAACTCGGAAAGTTTAAGATCAAATATCACTAGAGGAATGCTTTTAAGCAATGACTGAATACATAAACACAGTTCTGCCATAAACAAAAGCTATTAGTATACAAGCAGCGATGACAATCAATATTGGAGACAGCAAAACAATGTGTCAAAAAGATGATATATGGTACAATAATTCACACAAAAACACTCATGTCCAGGACTCTATTTGATGTCGAAGTTTTTGCATGTAAAGGTCCTTACACATCTATAAACCAAATTGTACTGCAAACACCAGGTATATAATGCAATACAAGTTTAATTTTCGTCTTCACACATCTATAAACCAAAATAATCTGTTAAAATATCACACAGAGAATGTGAAAAAAATAGATAAACAACCCCAATGGCAGTCCATTCATGATGGCAAGTCCACAATCAATCAAACAGTGATATCATTAAGATTTTATTCAAATCGACAAGGATTTGTCAGAGGGTGGGGGCTTCCCTGGCTGCTGAGAGAACTAAGAAATGAAAAGGGAAGATTCTCTAAACAAGGACTGTAATAGGGCTAGGTCTCAATCAAATTTACTCAACATTGGTAACAAACACATTACTACAATTTTCCCAAATCATTCAGTAAAATAAATACCAACGTCAGGCTCATAACTACTCTACACAAGAAAATGAAAGGCTCATAAAGTCTTTCTCAAGGCTCTAAACAAGGAAAGCGAAGACGAAGAAGCTATCATTTGGAAAGAGGAGGAAGAGATCTTAGGGATTAGAAATAAACCCCGACTTATCTTGGAATCGTGGGCACTAGGATGTGAAGCTGCTCACTCTGCTTTTGCTGGTATAAATTCTCCTGTAAATGTTTTGGAGATGAGTAATCATTGCTGCTGAGAAGAAGATGGTGATAGTTGATCAGAGATTTTTGGGTGTCAAACGCTTTGAAGTGCAAGCATTAGAGGCTCGTAAAATGACTTACCCTTTTTTAAATGGTAAGTGGTTTTGCGGGATTTAGGAGCTTATTTTACGTTAACTGTAAAATTTTTCCCATTGACCCAGTGCTTTTACTTGAACCAAACACAAGAAAACGGAGAAAACATTATCTATAAAATATTTTTCCTCAAACAAACAGATCCTTAGTTTATGTAAACATAAGGATTCATAATGTCGTTCACTAGGGATGGACAAGAAGGGTTGACTGGTTGTCTTAAAAAATTCAAATTCTATGAAAATTTCAAATTTTCATAGAATTTAAGTAATTTTTGTATTTTCTATTAGTGATTTAATTTTTTCCTCTAACATTTGAATTCTTAAAATTTTATAAATTTAATTCGGAACATAAAGTCAGTTTCGTAGTTTTTAGACTCTTTGTTCGTTGTAAATTTGGTGTCTTTCTAATTATATAAATTTGGGTTAACTTGGCCCATATTGTTAAGGCCTATTGCATCATGCACGTTCCATTATGAGGACACGTGGCTGAAATTGATTTGACAGTCCTTTAAGCTAAAAAGACCACGAATTGCGTTTGAAAAACCAGGACTAATATAGTTAGATATATTGGGTTTTTTCCCAATAGGGCACTCACCATATTTATTTGACTATTTACATCTCAAAAATTAATTTGGGATCTATGATATTTTTTACAGTTTAAGGTAAACTCGTCACGTCGAGGTGACGATTTCAATGAGATATAATGTGAATTTAAGATTAAAAAGAAAAAAAAATACACATTAACTCATCACGTCGAGGTGACGAGTTCTGTTAGATT